TGGCGGGGGATACTGGAGAGTCAGGAGGGATGATAAGGGAGACAACTTGGCCCCCTGCTATCAATGCTTCAGGTCCCTCCCAGGTCCCGGAGGAGGAAATGCTGGTCGGTGACAGGGGCTTCACCCAGCAGCCCAGAGAAAGGGGCCGGGTACCAGGGCTGGTGATCCTCCAGGTGAGATGCAGTGTACCTGTCCTTTTAGCCCTCGTCAGCATTGCCCAAGCTAAAGTCAGCAGAAAGCAGGCAGCAGAAAGCGGAGTGCCCGGGGCTAGATTGCAAAGGGGGCTGGGCCCACCACCGGGGCATCAGGTGATTAAACAGCAGCCAGCGTTGGGTTTCTCTGCCTTCCTGTGTCTGAGCCCTCGCGGCGCACTGGGGTTACCGTGTGCAGCTGCTCTCCACAGCCCGAAGGGCTGGGAACTTGGCCCTTTACTCCAGCGTGCGCTGCGCTTCTCATCTGGTCCTGCAGCTCCAGGAGTTGGGGCGTTGAGGCAAACACCATGGCTACGTCTACACTCACGGCTTCTTGCGGGAGAAATATGCAAATGAGGCTAAGCGTGGAATATCGCTAAGCCTCATTTGCATACCAAATGAGCCGCCATTTTTGCAGAAGAGGCTCTTCCGCCACAAGTCGCTGTCTACACAGCCCCTTTTCGCGCAAGAAAACCCCTCTTGTGCCATGCCGCTATTCCTGTAAATAATCAGCGTAGCAACACTGAGCAAGAGGGTTTTTCTTGCGCAAGAAGGGGCCGTGTAGACCGCTCCTTCTGGCGCAAGAGCCTCTTCTGCAAAAATGGTGGCTCATTAGGTCTGCAAATGAGGCTCGGTGTTTAGCCTCATTTGCATATTTCTTCCGCAAGAAGCCGTGAGTGTAGACATAGCCCATGTGCTGTGAGCAGCGGCCCCTCTAATTTTTCCCATGTGTGCAGAATAAATTTTGTTCTGTGCACGGAGGCATGTGCTGATGTGCACCACCAATGGAAATGCAGGCTGCCATCTGCGGGTGACCTGCTAATCAGCTGGGTGGCTGTCCAAGCATTCAGCTTACAGAGAAGGAACGTGGGAGGTGAGATAAAATCACAGGAGTTTGCAGGATTGCTGGGTTCCCCACTCTCTTGAATCCAACCAGTGGGTCCAGGCTGCCGGGCTTAGACAGCATTTGTAAAGGAATGGCAGGATTCCAAAAGCCAATCGGTTTGGGTGACATTGGTTTCTAGGCGGCGTGGGGGCTTGATGGGTGATGGGCCTTTCTCTGAGTCCAAGCCACTGTCTGCACCTCCATATCTGAGTCATTCACTCCTTTGCTGGGTCCCAGGCCCTGGGAATCTTTAACCCGGCATCCCCTGGAACCGAACCAGGGCACAAATCCACTCTGTGCTCGCTGAACCAGTCTGCGTGGGAGCTGCATTAGTCTGTTTTAGCCCAACTTTGCCTTTCAGAGCGTTCAGGGTCTCGTCTTCCTCCTCAGCGGAAGGGCCTGCAGATCTGTGAGCGGTGCTAGGAACGCCGCACTCGCGTAACGAAGCCTGAACACCAACTAACGGTGCTTCTGGGGAGGGGAAGAATTTCTTTCCTTGTGCGAGTGCCCCGGAGATCAGCTGACAGGAAATTATCTTCCTGAGGCTGGAGCCCGGGCAGAGGAGGGAGTTAAAGAGGGAAGGAAACCAAATTCAAACATTTACATTGGTCTTACGTCCCAAGGGGTTTGATTTTTTTTTTTTTTTTTTTAAAGTTTGTTTTAGAAAGAAGGCCCAGCTTGTCAAAGACTTCAGGCAGGAGCCTTGCTGCCTCTGAGGATTTGGGCTAGAAGAGAACTTGGCGTGGGGGGAGAGAGCTCAGTGGTTTGAGCATTGGCCTGCTAAACCCAGGATTGTGAATTCAATCCTTGAGGGGGCCATCTGGGGCCAAATCTGTCCGGGATGGTCCTGCTATGAAGGCAGGGGACTAGACTCCATGACCTTTCCCTTCTAGCTCTAAGAGAGAGGCATCTCCATTCATATAACCAAGCCTACTCTCGGGTCCTCAAGGTGGTACGCGAGACTCGTGTTGGCCCGGCGAGCTTTCTGTTTACCAGCGCGTGGCGGGTTGTGCACTGACGGGGCCGAGGTGGCTGTCACCTCTCTCCTGCGTGAGTGGACAGGGGATGTAGCTGCTGCTGCGGGAATAAAGCCAGGGTTTTCTCAAGGACGTTCCAGCCTGCTGGGGTGGGTTGGGTTCGGCCGATGAAGGCGTTCCACCTGGGCACTAGCCCGTCCTGAGGCAGCGTGGCTAGCCCAGGGGGGCAGCACCCTTCTGGGACACCTGGTTTTCTATTCATCGGATGCCTCCTTTCAGAGAAAACATGCAGCTGGAGAGAGCATTGCTGGGGAGGGCACAGGGCAGCTCGCGTGCGTGGGCGGCAAAGCAAGGCAGGGCGAAGAGATGCGTCTTGATTAGAATGAATATCCAGGGAGTAGAGGGCCTCTCCAGGGCCAGCCCCGTGCTGTCCGTGCTGCTTACGGCCACGCCTGGCTGTGCCCGTCCAGCAGGATGCAGGCTCCGTAGAACCAGTTGCTTATTTCAGGCAGGTCAGCTGTTGGCTTCCTATGCTGGCTTCCTAGAAGCACACACCTGGCCTGCTTGCCACATGTGCTGGGCCGGCCCCCAAAGTCTGCAGAGGAAGAGCCTGAGGGTGCCTGGCCATCCACGGATGGAGGTTTTTGTCCCAGGAATGCTCTCCAGTTGATCCGGTGCTCCTTGGCTACTGCTGCCTCTGTGACACAGGCAAGGACTCGATCTGTCCTGCCGTTAGGGTTGCCAGGTGTCCGGTTTTCACCCAGACGGTTCCTTATTCAGGTCCCCTGCCCAGTAAAAAAACCAGAAAATACTGAACATGTGAAATGTCCGGTATTTCCTGGTTCCCTCGGACAGAAGCCCGGAGGGGATAATTTTCCCCTGCCGCATCTGGCGGGGGTAGGGGAGTGAGGAGCATAGGGCCATTTAAAGGCACAGTGCCTCTTTTTTTTTTTTTCTCAACAACTTTGGTTTCCCCCCTTTTCTTTGTTTTTCTCAACAGAACTTTTTCCCAGTGTTTTTTTGGGGGAAGGGTGTTCAGTATTTTTTGTTAAACCATCTGGTAACCCTACTTGTCATGGAGACATGAGAGGTCCACCTGCGGCGTCTACGCTGGCCCACGGCGTTCCAGTGGCGTCTGAGCGAGAGATCTCGCCAGGCCGGTCCTGCCAGCAATTGGCATCACACAGTGCTGTCCCAGGACTGTGGGCTCCAACAGAACAAAGGGACTGCAGGACTCCTGGGTCCGGTCTTTGTGTCAGTTTCAATCTTCTTGTGCCACTGCTTAGCCGTGTGTCAGAGAAGGCACCCAAGTCCAAGCTGGAATCCTGGCCGGGGCGATCACAGATGTCCTGCTAGACATCCGGGTACGGCACTGCACACCCCTTGCCCGTCTGAGATCCTCCTGCCCCCGTCTACACAGAGGGAAGCGGGAGAAAGAGGTATAGGAGCCCCATTTGACAGAGGTGGAAACTGAGGCAGAGCGATGCCAGATAACCTGCGCAGGGTCACAAGGGGGCCCTAGGGTGCCGTCAGGAGCTGAGCCCTGAGCACAGGCAGCAGACACAGCCTGCCTCCCCTGTGCAATTTTTGGGCGGGGTGGTTGGATGATAACGGTTGGCTTCAGCGAGGCGGGGATGGGGTGAGAGGCCTGGCCCTACTTCGGGGCTTTATGCAAAACGGGGCTGTCTCTACCCATTGGCCTTCAGCGAGGGAGATTTCCTCACAGCTCCTCAGGGCATACACCTCCTCGCCAGGCCCCGGGGTGCTCAGACCATGGCTGTACTGAGCCAGGGCTTTCCTGTAGAACTGGGGAAAATAGCCCCAGAGGAATAGGCCCCCATTCCCCATGGCTGCCACAGAAAGCTGCTCTCAGCTCTACGGTTTTCAACTGACACCGAAAAGGGGAAATATTAAGCACAAACAAGTGGAAACGTTCAGGCTTGTCTCGGCGCTAAGCAAGAGGCGTGTCCTGTGCAGTTCTCCAGGCGAGCTCTTCCTGCCGGAGCCTCGTCCCCGTTGGCTTGTACTCTGCCCGGGTGGCCTTGCCCTGACTGGAGGCAAGTTGCTAATGGCCTCATGCAGACCCGTCTGTGGGTCAGCCCCTTCCAAACCCAGATCTGCCCGGGACTGTGAAGAATCTGTCTTCTCGCCGGCCCCACTGGTGCAGCCCTGCTTGCTTTACAGCTACAGGGCTGGACTAATCCTGCATAGGCCTGACACGAGCCGGCTGCGTCACTGACCTCGCCCCCCTCGGTAACTGCGCTCACACGCGCAGCGAGGAGAACACACTGACGTTCGGCTGTGTGAAAACGGAGCAGCCGGAGGAAAACCTTCTGTTCTCGCCTGTAAACCCGCTGCGCCTCAGACACAGAGTCCTTTCCATGCGGTACTACGAGGGAATGTTGGTTTGGAGCCTCCTGGCTTTGCAAGAAGAGGGAGGGGGTTTAACAAGGATATCTTTTCTCCTAACTGTTTTTGTGGCATTTGAGTGAAATGGGTGTTAACAAAAGAATTTAAACACCCTGAACAAAATCCCTTCCTTCCTCTGTTAATTACATTTCACTTGCTTGATATGCCGGTCGTCATAATCCTAGTTCTCTAGTTGCCCACATCATATTGGCCAGGAGAATAGGTTAGAAAATGCCTGAATTGCTAGTTGAAACAAAAGACAGGACGATGTAGCACTTTAAAGACTAACAAGATGGTTTATTAGATGATGAGCTTTCGTGGGCCAGACCCACTTCCTCAGATCAAATAGTGGAAGAAAATTGTCACAACCATATATACCAAAGGATACAATTAAAAAAAATGAACACATATGAAAAGGACAAATCAAACTTCAGAACAGAAGGGGGATGGGGGGGGGGGAGGTAAATGTCTGTGAGCTAATGATATTAGAGGTGATAATTGGGGAAGCTATCTTTGTAATGGGTAAGATAATTAGATTCTTTATTCAGACTCAGGTGTAAAGTGTCCAATTTAGGCATGAACAACAATTCAGAGGATTCTCTTTCAAGTGCATTGCTAGTGTTTTTTAAAAGAGACAAGCTTAAAAACCAAATCCAACCCCATCCTGGCCTGTTGTTGTAAAGAAGGGGGCGAGGCAAAAAGCCTTTGGCTTTGATTCCTAGGTGGGTCCCCAAGTTTGTTTGGGTCATCAATGCAGTTTACCTTGTTGGCGTCAGGGAGGCCAAAGACTAAACAACCTTTTGAAGTGGTATCTCCAGATCAGAGGCAGGCTGGGGAGGGACGTTCCTACTGCCTCCTGCCCGTGTCCTGTGGCTGGAGCCAGCGCCTTGCCCTAACAATTCAGCAAAGCGTAAAGAAAACACCCTTTATTTGTTAATATTGGCACAAGGGAAACTCCTTGATGTCTGAGGCCGGAGAGAAGCCCAGCTCCCTGTCAGCTCAGCTCAGCTCAACTGCTGAGAGTCATTTTGGCTCCCGCCGCTTGTGGTTTGTTTTATGCTTCTCCACTTCTGCTTTCCCCAGGAAATAAGCACAGCAGCTAATCAAGTGATTCACAGCGAAAAGTTTAAAGAGCAGAGTGGGAGTCTCCAACTGCTTTAAGATGCCTGGCTGGGCAGCTGTGCCCCAGACACCAGAAGAAAAGCCGCTTTTCCTGGATATCGCAGGTGCTCGCTCCGGAAGTCGCTGAACCTGCGTGCCCAGGTAGATCAGGTTTGCAAGGGGCACTGAAAGGGCGGGGTTCACTGCTCTAGCAAAGCAGGAGGCCTCTGTCATGCTCTGTGCTTTGACAGAGTCACTTTCAAATGGCAGGGGCCGGGGTGAACGTTGTGCACGTTGTGGGGCTGGTGGGAGAAGGGGAATGGTGGAAATACAGACGTTTGCCTCTGTTCTAGGGACAGCAGAGGGAGCCAAGGTGGCAGGGGGTATCAGCTGCTGCTGTTCGCAGAGTTCTTTGATTTGCTGCAGCTGCCTCCAACTCTCCTACACTTCTCTTTTTTGGGTGCTCCATGTTGTTTTCATTCTGCTCTTCTTGGGGGCCTCTTTTGGAGATTAACTGGAGATTACCCACGGGCAGTCTAACGGTAACTAGCAGCAGCCAGGGTACTCTCTAGCATCAGGGAACAATATTTCATTGACAGCCGGACCTCACCTAGAAGGGCGAAATCCCCCATACTGCTCCGACTGTACCTGGTACATAAATCCGTGCAGAATCTGACCTCACAAGGCACCTAGAAGGGCGAAATCCCCCATACTACTCCGACTGTACCTGGTACATAAATCAGTGCAGAATCTGACCTGACAAGCTGACTGCAAGCAGTTTGTTTTTTTAACGTGGAGAACAAAAGCAGGCAAACATGAACGTCCCATCGCCACATTTTTGTTGCGCATAGAAAAGCTGTTCAAGGTTGAGCAAGCAGAGCCGCCCTTACGAACCTGAGCATGAATTAATGATTTGCCAAAATGCTGTATAGAAAGGCCTGCTTTGAAACCCAGGTAGCCCGCCCCCCCATAACTGAGAGGTGGTCTCATCAGAAGACAACACCGGGCCAAATTCAGTCTTGATAGAAATCTATTGGTTTCAATGGAGCAACGCCCAAGCATGTTGTGTCTAAACGAGACATGTTCTGTCGAGAACAAAACAGAAAACAGAACAGTGCTACAGAAACCAAGTACCTAATCCGATGAAAAGGATCCTTCTGACAATGTACAGTGCTCTCTACATTGGCCAGTGTGTTCAATAAGCCAGTGATTCAATAATCCATCCTCTTATTTTTGTTTAGGGAACTTTTAAGGGCTCAGCCAAAAGAGGGTCTTATTGCACTCAGTGCTGGACAGACCTAGACGAGAGAGGCCAGAGCCCAAAGAGTTTACCAGCCAGAGAGACAAGACAAAGGGTGGGATGGGAGTTGCACTTAGCAACCTTAACACTTAGCAACCTTAACTAACTTCTTAGCTTTTCTATGGCATGTGAGCTGGGAACACACTGTCAATCTCTTGGTTCATGTATTAACTAAGGGGACGAGGAGTGGGCAGACCCAGAGCCTATGGGATGAAGTTAAGTAAAGGAAAATGTATCTTGACTATCGGGAGACTCTTCCAATCAGTGAGATCTGTCAGGCTGTATTTCCTCAGTTTCTGGCTGCGGAAGGTTGGGGCATTTCTCTCTTTATCTCTGAGGCCAGGGAAAGCTTTGTTACCCAGCTCTTCTGGGGAATGGGGGTTGCTGATCTGAAGGTGAATTGCTTTGCCCCTCCCTCCTATGGGCAGATCCAGCTCGAAGCAGGCAAAGGGGGAAGGAAGCACCAGCTGATGACGTCAGCCAGCAGCAATATTCCCTTGAATCTTTCCTATCCCCGTGCAGATTTTTTCATCAGTGTACAGAATAATTTTTTTTCTATATGCACCAAGGCATATACCAATGTGCACCACCAGTAGAAACACAAAAGCTGTGGGCGCTCTGCTAATCAGCTGGGCAGCATCTGAATCTCTCCTGAACAGCCGCACAAGTACACTGGCCAGCAGTGCCGGCTGTCTGAAACAGTGCAGACTTCTTTTGTGCCCCTCAATGGCCGGGTGAACAGGTGGGAATCAGGTGCGCATGGCACTGTGGTTGGGGGCAATGCCAGCGAACAAAGTTTTCTAGGTAACAGAGTGCTGGATAACAAAGCTTTCACTGTAGTGACTTGAAAACAAGGGTCCTTGCCTGACTGGAGAGGAATGGCGCTGAGGACCCAAGACTGCTTCCAGCTTTGATTTTGGGCCCTACTTGGTTTTGACGCTCACTAGAAAACGGGGGTGTGTTACATAGTCAGAGCAGAGAACTGCTTCTGGAGAGAGACCCGCGCCGCAGCATTGGGAGCCCACCTTCCCAAATGTTTTGATCCAGCATCTCGTGTTAAAACAAATAAAAGAAAGTTCTTCTTCACACAGCGTGTAGTCAACCTGTGGAACTCCTTGCCAGAGGAGGCTGTGAAGGCTAGGACTATAATAGAGTTTAAAGAGAAGCTAGATAATTTCATGGAGGTTAGGTCCATAAAAGGCTATTAGCCAGGGGATAAAATGGTGTCCTTGGCCTCTGTTTGTCAGAGGCTGGAGAGGGATGGCAGGAGACAAATCACTTGGTCATTGTCTTCGGTCCACCCTCTCTGGGGCACCTGGTGCTGGCCACTGTCGGCAGACAGGCTACTGGGCTAGATGGACCTTTGGTCTGACCCAGTACGGCCGTTCTTATGTGACCTCTCTCCGACTACCTGCTTTACCATCTCACGAAAACGTTGGGTTGAATCTCTCGAGCTCTGAGCTTGGGTCCTTGATAGACAGATTAGACCAAAATGTGATCTGGTGCTGGGATTGGACCAGGGGAGGTACAATTTATTCTCAATGAAGTCAACCACAAAAGAAGTCTGCACTGTTTCAGACAACGAGGCTCTTGCTCACTGCCAAGCCCCATTTTCCATTTAAACGTAAGAACTGCTTGGCTGGGTCAGATCTAAAGTCCATTTAGTCCAGTATCCAGTCTTCCAACAATGCCAGGTGCCCCAGAGGGAATGAATAGAACAGGGAATCACCCCTGCCCATCCTGGCTGATAGCCATTAACGGACCTGTCCTCCATGAATTTACCTAGTTCCTTTTTGAACCCTGTTATAGTCTTGGCCTTTATGACATCCTGTGGCAAGGAGTTCCACAGGTTCACTGTGCCACAGGTTTGCTCCTTTTCAGCCTGCATGCACCTACACTCTACCCATAGCTTGAAATAAGCTATGTAATTTGAGCTATGCATGTTGCGTAGCTTATTTCGGGTTAATTTCTAAATAGCTTATTTCAAAATTTGGCGCTGTCTACACAGCCCTTATTTTGAAATAAATTGCTATTCTGAAATGTCCTTTACTCCTCGTGGAACAAGGTTTACAGGGATGTCGGAATAGCGAGCCCATTAGATTTTGAAATAACGGGTGTGCTCAAAAGACGCGGAATAGCTAGACTCAGAGATGGCCCAGTCATTTTGCTCTGTGATTTCACACAGCTGTCATTTAGAATAACAGATTAAAATTGTCCTGGTAAGTTTCACTTCCCCCTTTTTTTTTTTACTGCTGCCACTTTCTGAACAGCAGCCATGGGCTTCTTGGATCTTTTTACTTTATTGTGTTTTAAAGACCCTTCTTCCGCGTCTTCTCGGTATGTAAAAATGTTTTGTAGCCTGTCAAAATGGAACAGAAAACAGCGTGTAATAGCTACAGCCGAAGGAGCCCTTGGCGGTGTCACAGGTGGGCTACAGAAGTACAAGGGGTCTGTTAAAACTGGTTCCATCAGTGGTTTTCATTTTTTTTCATTTGCAAGCCCTAAAAATATTTCAAATGGAGGTGCAGGCTCCTTCTGAAATCTGAGAAATAATCTTTGGGTGCAGGGCTGCTGAGAGACTTGCCAGACCCCCTCAGGCAAAGTCTGGGTGGGGGAAAGTGCCCCAGAAAAGGCGGGGCCTCAGGAAAAAGGGGCGGGGCTAGGGCTAGCCTCCACCAGCTAGGCCTTCAGGGCCTCTAGTGTGTTCCGCATGTGGCTCCAGGGGCGATTTAAAGGGCCGAGGGCACCCGAGATAGCAGCAGCTGAGAGACCCGGGCCCCCGTGTGGCTGCCCCCCTATGTTCCCCCTCCCTTTTGGCAGGACCTCAGGAGGGAAAACCACTTGTTTAGACTCCTCCAAGAACAGAGCATCTCGGATCCTCGCGCCGTGGTAGCAGATCTGTGCGGCAGGGTCGCTATATTTTTTCAGGGGAATAGAGAGTTTAAGGGATTCATGGGTATTTGTTCAACAGCGCTCAGCAGAGGAGCTGAGCCTGGCCTAACTCCGGGTCTCTTGGCTTGAAGTATTCTGCGCCTTCCCTCTAGACACAAGTCTCAAAAACGGAGCGGGCTGCAGCCAGCACTTGGAAGGGGTTCACTGATCAGTGGTGTCCTCCTATGAATTCCACTCCTGGGATGGGAAGGGTGAACTCTGTTCTTGGGGAAATGCAACATAATGGAGCCTGGACTTTTTGGGTTGCGCAATGATCTCATTTTAGGGTGTTTCCAGCCTTGATTGGGTTCCTGCTGCTGATGTTTTCCTGTGTGTTCTTCCCTCTGTACTTAGCTTTCCAGGCTCAGTATGACAGAGCCGTAGACGTCAGGGTGAAATCCCTCCCTCATTGGAGTCCCTGCCAAAACCCCCGTTCTCTTCAGTGGGGGGTACAAATTTACCCTCAAGGACCAATCTTGTGGGGCCTTGCGGATGCGAGCAGGTCTCATGCAAGCCGTGCCCAAACAAACAAAAAGATTTGTTAAATAAATGACTAGTTGAAAAAGAAAGTTTCTATGCGTAGGAAGCATCTCATTGTTCTCTAACGTTAATCGTGTGTGGCGTGTAGTGGAGGATGAAAGGGGCTTCTCTCTTGTTCGCATTAATATACTGGCCAAGCGAAGTGAGCCTTGATGTTCAGTTTCTCTGGGCGCCACGGGGTAAGTGTGTCGGCTCGATTCCAGGATTCCAGGAATGCTGTAGGAGTCAGTGGGCAGAACTCTCCCGATGGGGGTGAGAACTGAGAGACACCCGTTTCCTCGGATTGTAGTGTTCTGATTGTGTCTACAGGAATGACGTGGCAACCTCACCGAGGCCCATGGCAGGAAGCAGATTAGGGTATCATAGGGTTTCCCCTGCCCACAGTATCAAAAGGCACCCTCTGGGCCGAATGTCAGCGGAAGTCAAGCTACCAGGAGATTCTCACTTCCTACTTTGGCTAGCCCCCCCACCTGAACTCTGGCCAGGCCCTACAGCCCCTCACCTGCAGAGACATCCGTGGGCCCTAGTGGTGGTGAGTTCTGTCTCGGGCCTGTATCAGTTCAGCTGCATGCTAAACGTGTGCCACCCTCTCGTAATACCACCTTGCTTTTCATCCATACATATCAGAGCATTTTATAGGCAGGCCAACATCTTTATCTTCACTCTACAGCTGGGGAAACTGAGGCCCAGGAGTGGGACTGTGGCTTGCCCAAGATCATCCAGTAGACCCCAGATCTCCTGAGTCAGATAAGCCAGAGGCGGCAGGGCATCCCGTGATCACACGGCCCCGTGGCCCTGCCTACACTGCAGTGTCAGCTGTGCCGAAGTGGCACCTGGTGGCCACTAGAGGGAAAGGACTAGTGGGGAGTGAGAAGGGCAGAGGTCGGAGGGGAACTGAGGCAGGAGGGCACAGAGAAGGGGGGCCAGGCTGGGACTGAGCAGGGATGGCACAGGGTAGAGGAGCTGCTCTGGGCCGGCCGCTGCCCTTCCCCAGTGATCCGTCCTCCCCCCTCGCTAAGCACACTGTGTCAATCTATCATCTTGTTGCACCAGGGAGCTCCGAGGAGGGTGTGTGTGACCCATCCCTGCAGGATCCAGCCCCAGAGAGCCAGGAATGAAGCCTGGCAGAGGGAGCAGTGGACAGCAAGCTCCTCTGAGCTCCCGGGGGCCAGGGCAGCAGGAAAGAGGCTCCGGGTGGAACGCTGGTCCCAAGCAAAGTCCCTGGGAATTTTGCCCCTGACTTCCATGAGGCCGGGACTCCGCCCCACATGATTTGCGATGAGCGGGGTGGGGTCTTAGAGCAGGGAGGCCTCGCTCCGTGGGTCCTGCGAGGCTGCCCCTGAATCCTGCCTGGAGCAGGCTGACGCCCAGCGGGAGGCTGATGAGCCTGTCGGCCTGCGAAAGACTGAACGAACTCAATACGGTTTCTGGGTACTGCCCCTCCAGGGCCGCGGCTGCCATTTGCGGAGCCAGCTGGGGCAGCGTGTCACACGGGAGACACCGCCTCTCTGCTCTCTCCTGGGGGGGTTGGGCTGCTGGCTGCCATCATTCTGGAAAGGGAGCTCCTGAGATTGGCTGGGTCTCCTGTGCCAAGGGCAACCCATCCGCTCCCCCGGAAAACCCTACAAGCACAGAACCAGGGTGGGATTCTGTTTTTCCCTGGAGGTTTCGTGACATGACACCGTCTTTAAGGGGCGAAGATTAATCTTCCATTCCTGGAGGCTCCGGGACACTGCGGGAGGTTGGCAGCCCCAGGGATAACCCTTGTTTTTATTCTCAGGTCCGTTCGGCCACGGCATGGACCCGGCCGAAGAGCTTCGGAAGCAGCAGGGGGATTTCCTAGATGAGACGGGGCAGGAGCCAGGCCCCGATGACGACGTGGAAGCCCCAGCACAGCCTGAGGCCGGCCGGGAGGGGCAGCAGGGGGG